AGAGAGGTGGAGTGAAGGGAGAGCAGGAGAGGGGAATTGCCCAAAAGATGCAAAAGGCTGGAGAAAAAGCGCATCCTTTGCACTCTGACATCACCTGGGAGATGGAAAAATTTCTCCCTCTGGTCTAGAGCTTGATACTCCCCTGGATTGGGGGGGAAGGGGTAGTTTAAATGGCAACAAGAGGCTTTCCCCTCCCCCCCCCAAACATGTGGTTGGTTTTGCTTTCTTCTCTCCATCACCAGCACTGCTGATGCTCATGGTCTCTCCTGGGCACTTAAGCTCTTTGTTGGAACTGTTTGGTGACTGAGGCCATTGAGCAGGTCTGGCACTTTGGGTCTGCAAAGCCTCACTGACCTTGTAACTCCCTTTTCTTTCAGTTTGGTGACCTCACATCCCTGTCTCCAACACTGCTGGACAAAGGTACACGAGGGAAGTCCTCTGGGTCAGGGTGGGAGGGGGATCTTTGTGTTGGCTCTTCCAGCCTGCTCTGCTGGGAAAAAGCTCCCCTTCCCTCTGGTCCCCTCTCTGATGCTGAGCCATGTCCTTGCAGATGACAGTGAGCTGGGCTCTGAGGTGGACACGGACCGGGCCGTGGGGGAGCCGCTGGTGAAGCGGGAGCGCAGCGACCCCGGCCACTCCCTGCAGGAGATCTGAGCCAGGCACGCAGCTCCTCTCCAGCTGGACAAAGACATCCAGAGCCAGGTTGGATGGTCCCAAGCCTGAGCCTTCCCAGATCTGCGTTCTTAGTGCCTCTTAGTTTCTCTTTCATGTTTACTTGTGTTTGAGGATGGATTCCAGCGCCAGGGCAGGCGCTGGGATGGGGCTGGTTTGGCCACCCTCTTCCCTCCAATGTGGCTGCTGTCTGGAGGGAGAAGCTCCAGAGTCTGCTCCCAAGGGATGGAAGCCTCCATGGTCAGCAGCAGATTGGATGTGCCTGGCTGGGAGAGCCTGTCCTCCCTCCCCAGCCGGAGTGAGACAGACAAGTGAGGCTTTCTCCTTCAGGGAAGGTGGTTTGGGTTCCTTCCTCACTTCTCAGACTTCACTGTGATACGAACTTGAACCAATCAGTGCCCAAGAGGAAGGAAAAATACCTGACTCTTCCCCTGCAGCCTTTCCAGACAAGCTGTCCTGGCTCTGGCTTCGCCAAATCACTTGCACCGGGGAGGACAGGACAGTTGGTCTCTCTTGTACCCACTCCAGGCTGCACATCCCTCTGATCCTGATGGACACAGGAGTGCTCTGGGACTACAGGATGAGCATTCCCACCTGCTCCCATGTCTCCCCAGCTTGGCATTTCACCACTGATCCCTGAATGCTCCCAGGACACCATCAGGCCAACTCAAGATACCAAAGGACTCCAAGGAAGTGGCAGCCGGTTGCAGAGTGTGTTCATTGCCTGTGGGCAATCCCGTGACAATCCCATGGCACCCCTATCCCCCAGGGTGCCCAGGCAGAGGGGCACTGGCCCCACGTCCTGGGGTGTGTGAAATTCCCACTCCACGTCCAGCTGTAACGCTGAAGGAGGTGCAGCCGTGTCCAGAGCAGGGTGAGGGGGTGTGACCACAGTGCCTTAGCGTGGGCCATGTTCCTGCTTCCCCCCAACTCCAGGAGAGCCAGCACAGCTCAGACTGATCCAACAGCTCATCTCATGTCATGAGGGGCTGTCATGGACCCAGGGGAGCTCAGCACTCTGGTGACATTTCCCCTCTCTGAATCCCTTTGCCTTTTCCCAGTGGCTCCTGTGGGGCTGAGCCAGGGGAGCTCAGTAGGGTCTCTTCTCCCTTTCCATGTCCTGTGGGGTCTGTGCTGAGGTGGATTACACTGGGATGATGTGCACTGCACTGGGGTGTTGTGGGCTACAGGGCAGAGGAGGGGGGGGTGGTGTCATCAAGCCAAACTGCAAAAACAAAGCCCCGGGGCAAATCTTTCTGTGAATAAAGGCCGTGTCATAAGTAGCTTTTATTATTATGGTTTCTAATGATGCAGTATTTGGTGTGAGCTTTTCCAGAGGTCTCGTGTACATTTGCATAGCAGAGTATATTCTGTCCAAATCTCTTTATTTCCTTGTTTCCAGTAGTACTAAGGTAGCTGTGACACTTTAAAACACATTAGAAATGGCCAGTGAAACCAAAGTGTGTGTAGTGGCACATTTTCCCTCTGACTGTCCCGTGCTATCGTTGTCTGTAAGCGTCTCATATGGAAATGGAGTGAAATGAGAGAAGGAGAGAAGTGAGAAAGGCAAATTTAAATGTAAATAACAACCAGAACTCCTGGAGTCAGAGTCCAGTGTTTTGGATCCTGCTGATGAGATAAGAGGGTTCAAAAAAACAGCTGAGCAACCAAGTCTTAACTCCCCTGTTCCCACTGAAGGCCATAGGAAGTTCAGCTGGAACACTGGCTCTTTCACCAAGGGACCCCAACCTGCAAACAAGATGCTCTGGAGATCTGCAGCACTGTGTGAGGAGTCTGGGGAACCACCTAAACCCCATGCACAGAATTCCAAGCCTAACCTGAATAGCAATAAACATGTATCCAATGCTCAGGCCTGTACAAGGAGTGTTGTGGTCCCATTTCTTCTGTGTTCCCTGAGAGGAGATATCAGGAGATGCTGCAGCACTTTGGAGGGATGCAGGAGCTGCCCAGTGCAGGGTATTTACAGCAGTTTTGGGCAGGGATCCTGTGTCTGCAGGAAGGCAGGATTCCCATGGAGCAGCAGCTGCTGTGTAGGGATAACTCCCCATTACACTCCCAAAGGGGAGGAGAGGCTGAGGGATCAAGCTGAGCATTGGGCCATAGGAAGCACGTTTTAATTATGCTTCCAGACTAATTGAAAGGATGGGAACAGCGAGACAGGGATGTGACAAGTGCTGGATCATTCCTGCTCAGATCCCTCAGGAGGGGGAAGGTTTAGCCTCAGCCTCTCACCCTTGTGCTCTTGCTTCCCCCTCCCTCTAGGTTATGCCCAGTCTTGCAGGGGTGACTGGACCAGCCAGAGTCTCTTCCTTTGGATACTGAGCCTCAGGGCTGGAAGCAGGGGGTTATTTCCCCCGGGGGAACTGGGCAGCACCTCCCGACCCTGAGCTGCAAGTGGAGAGCAAACACAGCTCAAAATACTCCTCACAGTACACACAGCCCCCCATCCTCAGCCTACCTCTGGCTCCATCACCCCTCCAAGGTGGGCAAATCCACAGAGATTTCAACATAAGCATCTCAGGACTTTCTCTTCCATCTCTTCCCAACCAGCAGAGAATGCCAGGAGGTGGCAGGAGAAGAGGAGATGGCAGGGATTGACACCAACCCCAGAGAAATCAGAGGGGTGCAACATTCCAGAAGCAGTTGGACATTGCCAGTACCTGTGACTCATCCCAAAAGGATGAGCTTCAAGCTGCACAGTGCAGCACAGCCCAGGGATTTATCAGGAGCAGCCCTGCATGGGGAAGCTGCAAGGCCACCAGCCTGGGAGATGCTGCTGGTCTGGTGACAACCAGGACATCATGGAGAACTTCAACATGTACGTGCAGGCAGGATGAGCCTTGGGCTTGCCTCCTGTTTGACCCCAAGGGAATGTATCCCTTGACTGGGATGGGTTTAGCTTCATGGTCTGGCACTGGCACTCCTGGATTTTACCCACAGCCTTGGCTGTGCCTCACTGAGGCATCAGAGAACAGGCACCTACATCTGGAGAGCCTCTGGGACACAGGCACTTGCAAAGTGAGATGATACAAAGTTCTCCAAATGGAAACCAAAACGCATTTGAAACCAGGCGCCAGAGGCACCTTCTGTTCTTTACTTGCAATTTCTCTTTCATTCTGACTGAAACAGCATCTTACCTTGTGCCAGCAGAGTCCTTGACTGGTCCATGTGGTCACAGGGCACAGAAACATCAGCCAAAGCCCTGTCTGGACCCACAGGTGAGGGTCAGCTGGGCCGGGCTCCCAGCATCAACCCTGCCAGTGACACTTCCAAGTTTTCCAGCCCTGGCATCATTCCCAGCCCAGTATCACCCCCCTACCTGCCCCAGCCCCTGCTGCTCTGCCCCCCCTGTTCTCATCCCCATGTGTCCTCACCCTCCCACCCTGCCCAACACGGGGCTCAAACCACAGTGATGTTTCATCCCAGAGCTCCTTCCCCATTGTCCTGAAGCCCCGGGCCATCCTCCCCCCCCCTCCCGCCCACACCCTGCCCTGGGTTGCACCCCATTCCTGGGGCTCTCCTACTCCCTCACTGGGGCAGGAGGTGTTTCTGAAGGGAGAAGGACCTTTGCCAGTCACTCTGGCAGCACTGAGAGCCAAAATCGATGTCCTGGGCTGAATCTTCCTCCCTCCACCTCCCCGTGGCTGTTCCTGATCATGCACAAGGCAGAGAAACTGAGGCAATGCCCGAGAGGCCTCGTGGCATCAATTCACTGTCCCCCTGGGTACCAGAGAGGACAGATTCTGCTGCCCCTGTTCCTGCTGCCCCTGGCCTGGCTCTGCAGCCAAAGCAGGAGGAGCCTGGTTGGTCCCAGGGCTCAGCTGGGGCAGTTTAACCACAAACAGGTTTCACCTGGAGCAGGTGGGTCTGGGGGGGGGGGGGGGGGGGGGGGGGGGGGGGGGGGCGGGGCAGATCCACAACCACACCTGCAACTCATTCAGGGTGGTTATGCTTATAAACCCACAGCCTCCCCACAGCAGGGGTTCCCTCTCTCTTTCCTTTTTTTTTTTTCTTTATTTTTTTTTATTTTTTTTTTATTTAATTTTTTTTTGGCTTTGTGTTTTGGGAGCCTCAGTTTGGAGCTGGGGAGAGTTGGGATCTGCTGCCTCTGGGTATCTGGAATGTACTGCTAAGACTTTCCACCCTTCCCAGCGCTGCCAAGCAGGTAAGGAGACAGCACCCAGCTGCCTCCACTCCCCCTTCCCTGGGCTGGGCTTGGGGACTGCAGCCCCGAGGAGGGTTCAGGTGACGGTCAGGATGCGTCCCAGTGCTGTCCTTCTCCTGTGTAACATCCTAGATCAAGGACAATGTCATCATGCAGCTCAGGGGTGGCCTCAGGGCTCGATTCCCGGCCCAGATGCAATGCTCCAGGGCTGGTGCAAGGAAATTCCTTCCTGGCACGGCACCTCCTCCCCCCGCGGAGCCACTCACTTACCCTGCTCAGCCAGGAGGGCACCTTGGAGAGCTTCGACAGGTACGTGGTGCTGGGATGTGCAGGGGGAGCTGAGCCCCGGCCTTTCCCTGTGTTTATCCCCAAGGGAATGTGTCCCTTGGCTGGAACGTGTTTAAGTTCATGGTCTGGCTCTCCCAGCCTGGGGAGGCTTGCAGGGGACAGGCTGGTGTTGTTCTCTGTAGCCAGGGCAAAGCAGGTGGCCCTGGGTGTCCCTGGTGCCTCTACTCTCCCACCGTCGTGGCTGAGCCCTTGGGGACACTTTGCATGTCCCAAAGGCACCACACACCTCACACCTGTGTCCCCACAGCTCTGCCAGAAGGGTCCGTGACCTGAGTGATGCTTTGGGCTCTAACCTGCTGGACCGCAGCTGCTCCCTCCCCGACCCGCAGCTGGTCCGCAGGATCGTGTCCCAGGTGGAATTCTACCTGTCCGATGAGAACCTGGCCAGGGACGCTTTCCTCCTGAAACACGTCCAGAAGAACAAGATGGGCTTTGTCAGCATCAAACTACTGACATCCTTCAAGAAGGTAGGGAACCTGGGGAGGAGTGGGAAGGGTAGAAGATGTCCAGGTGTGCTCTGCTGTCTCCAGTGGGGTGTACAGGGAGGTCCAGACTCCCCTCAGGCTGTTCCTGGCAAAGCCCCGATGATGCAGAGCGGGCTTCTCTCTCTGCCTTCAATGCCCTGCAGGGAGGGTGGCTGGGGGAGCAGTGAACAGTCCCCAAACCACCCCTGGGGCTGGATTCACCCATGACTCCCCTAGGCTGCTTTGAGATCATCCCTTAAGCAAAAAACCCAGGCAAGTGCTGGTGGTGTGACATATGGGGAAGTTGAGGTTTACTGCCACAGCCCAGAGGACACTGGGGACTTCCTGCAGACCCCAAGGCCGCTCATGTGGAAGGGGGATATTGCCTTGCCATGATTTTGTGTTGATAAGGTTGCAGCCTGCCTGGATGATGGGTTTAGGGTGGTCCCTGCCTGGGAAGATCACAGGCATTCAGCAGCCCCCTCTCTCCCCCAGGTGAAGTACCTGACACGTGACTGGCAGCTCACGCTCTATGCCCTGAAATTCTCAGAGCTGCTGGAGGTGAACAAGGAGGGCACCAAAGTGAGGCGCCGGGTGCCAATCCCCGAGGCCCTGCTGAGCATCCCCCCCAGCAAACTGCTGCTGGCCTGGGAGCTGCAGCCCCGGGAGCAGGACCCACTGCTGCTGCCGCTGCTCCAGGAGAACTTCCTGGAGATCATCCTGAGGATGTTCAGCCCCTTCGGAGCCATTGCCTCCATCCGCGTCCTGCGACCAGGCCGAAAGCTGCCCTCGGACGTGAGGAGATACTCAGCCAAGTTCCCCGAGCTGCTGAGCAGGTGCTGTGCCCTGGTGGAGTATGAGAGCCTGGACAGCGCCTGCAGGGCCTTTGAGGACCTCGGGCACCGTGACTGTGACAGTGGCATCAAGGTGGTCCGGCTGTGCGGGAAGGGGAACAGGAGGAAACTTGGGGAAGAGAGGCAGGTGGTGGAGGAGCTGGTGGATCAGCCAGGCTGGAAGGTGCAGGGAGCTGCCCTGAGCCTCCCTTACAGCCACGAGGACTCCCTACTCTGCAGCTCTCCGGGGTCGGATGATGCCTCGGGGCCGCTGTCCCTTCTCCTGAACGAGGACCCTGTGGCACCTTCCTGGCCTGGCAGCAACTTCAAGCCTGGGAATTTCAGCGCCTTCACCGGATCACTCCTCGCCAGCAGCAAGGCTTTCCCTCCTCTTGGGCTGGACTTGGGAACCAGCAGCTGCTACAACCCCCGCGGCAGCACCAAGAGCCCCTGCAGTGGCTGGGGGGGCACCACGGGTGCCTGGGGACCCTGGAGCAGAAGCCCCTCTCCTGATATTGAACCTCCTCCAGGAAATCCCCTGACACCAAAGTGGGTGTCTGAGCCCCTCAGCCTGTGGGATGGGGTCCTTCACCTGCCCCACAGCCCCGATGACACGAAAGGCTTTGGCAGCAGCTTTGGGAGCGGAGAGCTCGTCCTCCGGCACTGAGGCTCCTTTGCATTTGGGGTTGAGGCTTGTTATTTTCTTTCTTTTCCCTCCTTCTCTCGAGCAGAAGATTTCTCCGTGGCCCCAAGAGCTGTGGGCGCTGGCAGTGCAGCTGCTCCAGGGGACGGAAGTTTTGGGACAAGGACGATGCTCGAGGTGAGAGGCTGAGCAGCAGCCGGAGTTGTGCTGTGCTCATGCCAGTGGGACTGTTCTTGCCTGGGGCCCAGAGTTAGGATGGGGTCCAGGTTTTGGATGGGAAATGGGCAAATAAAGAGAGATGAATTTTCCAGGCACTCTCTGGCTGGTGGTGTGATTTTTTATTTTTTTTTTTTATTATACCTTTTTCCCCCCTTCCTGGTCTTGCTGCTGCCTGAGCTGCAGACAAGGGCAGGAGGGTCCTTGTCTGCCTCCCTTATCAGTCTTAGCGGGGGGGGGACATTGGTGGGTAGGTGTGCTGCAGGTGGGGTCTTGGTGTGCCCAGGGCAGGTGGCACAACTTGGCTCAACCTGAGAGGGACAGGACTGGTGGTTGTTGGTCATCTCTGCTCCTACCCCCACCAGAGCATCCTCTGGCTGCAGCGCTCAGGTTGGACCCCACCTCAGGACTAGAAGATTTTGGGGAGCCCCAAGGGCTGAAGGACTCAAGGGGCCCAAAGGACCATGTATTGGGAGCTGCTGTGGCGGCAGGGCCACGGTTCCTTCTGCCTGGCTGGGCTCCCTGGCATCTCCCAGGATGGGGCTCACTGTGTCCTCCCTGCCCCAAGAGCTCCTCTTGGAGAGGGGAAGAGTTAAGGGGAGGTGGAGTGCCCCTGACCCACTACAGGTGGCTCTTGAGGGCTGCCTGTGCAAGTGCCTTTGGTCTGCTCCCAGAGCTGGGACGTCCTCGGGATTAGTAGGATGAGTCCCACACCTGGAGTGCTGTGATGGACAGTCCTGGCTGTTCAGGAGAGGTGGGTAGGGCTGGAGAGGGGAAGGTGTCACCCTGTGTGAGGGAGAGGATTGAAACAGTCCCCACAGTTGGGGGTGATGTGGTTGGGAGCCTCTGGGTGAGGATGAAGGGGGTGGAAAACCAAGCACGGGCTGCAGTAGGAGATGGTGTCCATCTCCCAGCACTGAGGATTTTTCCGTAGGTAGTGAGGAGAACTCTCTGGATTGGGAGTCCTTGTCCTTTCGGTGGATTTCAGTTTCCCAGCCCCCAGCTGGAAATGGCCTCCTGCTGTGGCCAGCAGGTCTGGGAAATTCCTCAAGTTTGTGGGAGAGAACTTCTTGTCTCAAGTACTCAGGGAGCCATCAGAAAAGACACTGTCCTAGACTTGCTGGTTGGGAATGGAGAAGGACTGGTAGGAGCTGGGATGGTCTTGGCCCACAGAGCTGCTGAAATGGTTAATGTGTAAGGAGAAAGAAGGACATTAGAGCTGCATCCCAGGGCTTGGAGAGAGCAAATGTTCTGTTCCTTAGGGAGGGGCATAGCAGATTTCCATGGAAATCTTCAAGGGGCTCCTTTGTGATCCCCAGGAGCAGGTGATTCCCTGGCAGAGCCTGGCACATCCTGTCACATGCCCTGGGTGCAGGAAGAGGGCAGTCCCATTGCCCTAATGCCCAGCTCCCTCCCCCTTCCACCATGGTGGGATAGGACCACCCGCTGCCTGCTCCCCCCAAAACACCACTCCAGATACTTGTTTTTTTCAAAAAAAATATCCTTTTTATTGGCTTCTCCCTTGGTGCTCCCACAACGTCCCTCAGCGCCTGCAGCCCAATGGGATCTTCGGGGCCTTTGAGCTCCCACAGACTTCAGGCTTCTCCCCCTGCCAGAGAGTGGCCAGTAGAGCCCCAGCAGGGACAGGGACATGTCCCCAAGCCCCACTGTCCCCCCAGATCCCTGTCCCACCTGGTAGAGGTGGCAAACCAGCCCCAGCAGTGAGGCCTCTGCCTGTGCCTGCAGCTCATCTGTGTGCTTCTGTGGGGGGAGATGGGGCTGCTCAGGGGGGTCCCCACGGTGCCCCAGCCCTGCCTGGCACACTGGTCCCCCTGCCATACCCCGTTGATGACAATCCAGGGCACAAACTGGTGTGGGGGGTCGAGTGCCTCAGTCAGTTGGGCATTTTGGTGCATCAGGGCCATCCCTGTGTCCCCCTGCACGCAGGCGGCGATACGGCCCCTGTCCAGCTCTGGGGCATAGATCTGCAGGCACTGCCAGGAGAAGGGACACACGAGGCACTCAGGGGGACAGGGATGTCCCTATAGGGCATGAGGGACAGGGACATCCCCACAGCAGGGCATGAGGGATGGGGGAGGGGACATACAGCCTCCAGGTTCTTGGTGACAGAGCTGCCCGACTCCAGGCAGAAGATGATGGGGAAGTAGGTGCTGAAGTTCTTGGCCTCGTGCATCAGGCAGGCCTATGGGAACAGGGTGGGTGGTACAGGGCCACTGGACCCCCCCCATGCCCAGCACCATGGGAACAGGGACCATCACCTCAATCATGTTGCCCAAACACTCCTCGGGGCCGTGCTGGCACTGGAAGTCCCACTTCCCGCTGACGTTCCTCTCCTGTGAGACCAACCGGTCTGAGCGGGGCCGGCGGCACTGGGGCAAGTGCCCACGGCACCGGCTCGGCCAGATCCTACCTGGGCATTGCCATAGGGCACCAGGGTGATGTTCAGCATCTCCGAGGGCAGCAGCAGCCAGGTGGGGAAGAGCTTCAGGACCAGGAACTCACGGCACGCTGGGCACAGGCTCTCATAGTACAGGCTCAGCTCTACCGGGGCAGCCGCGGGGCGAGGGAGGTTGGGGCAGTGGTTCTCCACCTGCATGCGGGGAGGTTTTGGGGTGCACAGGGGGGATACAGCTGCAGACCCCCAATATTTGCAGGGGGCAAAGCTCCTGAGATGTGGGGCAGAAGGGGGATGAGGGTGTGCAGGGCTGGAGGGAAGTGAAAGTGGCCAGGGGCCTCAGGCAGCCGCAGGATCCTGTGAGTGGCCGAAACCCAGTGCTGGGGTTTTCCACGAGAACTTCCCCAAACTGTTTCAGAGGAAAACAAATTTAGGCCAGGACACGCCTGGGTGGGGGTACAGCCCTGCACCCACCGCCGGGTAGTGGCTGCAGCCCCGCGGGGCTCACAGGGCACTGCCAGAGCCACCGTCACACAGTTGTCACCGCCTGGGGCTGTTCGCGGCAGGAACAAACAGAAAAGCCGTTTTATGCTTAAAAAGTACAAGTGCCGGAGGCGGACAGGGAGGGTCCAGGGTCAGGGTCCGGCTGGAGCACAGCAATTCCCCAGGGATGCCGGTGTGGCACGGGAGCTCTGAGTATACCCGCGCTGTGCCCGCCTGTGCCACAGCGGCGCTCGGAGCCGCCACTGGCTCCAGGTACCGTGGCCAGGTGATGCCCCAACCCCGTCCCCGCATCCTCATCCCCGCCGCCGGGCAGGCAGGACACGTCCCCACGTGTGGGGTGACCCTGCCCTGCGTGGGGCAGCCCTGACACCCGCGGCTCTGACCTGGCAGGCGACGGCGATCTCCGGCGAGCTGCACCAGAGGTGGGCAGGGCGGTCACAGCCGGGGGCCACCCCGAGCCCCGGGGCCACCAGGGCCACCAGGGCCACCAGCGCCAGGGCAGGCAGCGGCACCATGGGGGCCATGGGGACGCAGGGGTGACGCGGAAGCAAGCCCGTCCCAGCAAGGACTTTTAAAGCTCGGCTGCGCCCGCCTCCCTGCGCCCTTCCTGCCCTTCCCGCCTCTGCGGTGACGCTGCCGCCTCACGTGGAGCTCCGGCCACCCCGTCCCCGCTGTCCCCCCCGGGGCTGAGCTGGACCTCCAGGGTCACAGCCCCGCCAGCCGTTGCTGCTTCCCCGCGGGCTGCGACGCGTCTGGCGCTGAAACCCGACCTGAGGCAGCCCACGCCTGGTGTTTCCCGAACAGGGAAAGGGGCTGGATCCCTGCCGAGCCCCCGCGCAGCCCCCCCGGGGCGGTGCTGGTGCTGGAGCCCCCCGGGGGTGGCAGCTCCGGGTACAGGAAGGGGGTGCTGCCCAAGCCACCCCCTGAGCCCAGCTCCGGGGCTGAGTGCGGAGGAACCTCGCATTTCCCCGTTGTTTAGAGACGCCTTTTCCGGCCGTTTCTCGCCCCTTGGCGAGCCCAGGGCTGGTCCTCAAAACCAGCCCTGCAAAACCGGGGAGGAGAGTCCTGGCACCACTCGCAGGATGGGTCATATCCTGCACCCAGCCCAGGAACTGCCGCCCTCACGCCCCCGCTCCCCACGTAACACCCTCCCCCAGCAATCCAGCAGCCGGGTCATTAACAATGTTTATTTCTTTCCTCTTTTTTGTTCCTTTTTTTTTGTCGTTTTTGTGGGTTTTTTCAAAGTACCGTACAAAAAAAAAAAATCCTATTACAGTAACAAATACTGGATTTACATTAGTAAACATCAACGGAAAGAGCAGAGAGCACTACTGCTGGTAACGGACAGCTCGGGGGGGCAGGTTATTCGTTATTGCGTACGCCTAAGAAACTAAAACCTCACGCAGCCACCACGTCCTCTCTGAGCACAAACCTGCACCAGCACCCCTTCGGGGGGTTACACGGGGGGTCATGGAGCCCCCCAAGCAGGGACACGGAGGGACAAGTCCCAAACTGTCCCCGGGGAGCAGGAACAGCCACGTTGCACCCATGGCACGGCTCGGTTGGAGGACGTGAGGGGTCACAAGCAGCAAAGCACAGCCCAGCGCCTCCAAACGCGGCGCCAGCGGGTTCAGAACGAGCGAAAGCAGCAAAGGACAAATCATAGCAAGTTTATGCCGGGAGAGCAGCGCTGCAGGAGCTCGGGGGCTGGGTTCCCACCCACCCCGGGGAGAGCGGGGAAAAAGCTGCGTTTCAGGGAGCCGAGTGAAGCACCGTCAGGGAAAGGCAGCCCTGGGGAAGGGCATCTTCCACCTCGTCGTACACAGGACGTGCGAGCAGAGCCCTGTCGGGGACAGGCCACCAAGTAGGCAGGAATGGCAGTGCTGGA